CCAGAGGAGTAATGTTATGAAGATGGAGTTTTCAAAAGAGAGAGGCCTAGGGAGGAAAACCTTCAGGAAAAAGGGAAAAACCTAGTTTTGGCAGGAAAAAAAAGGGAAAAACAGAAGGGAGGAGTAAAAGTAAAAAGAAAGAGTATATAGAAGAGAGAGGAGAAGATAGGAGAAGGGAAATAAAGAGGTATGGGAAAGGGGCATAGAGAAAAGGGAAAAGAGAAGACGAAGAAAAAGTAAACAACTCAAAAATTTCCTAAAAGGAAATTTTCAAGTGTAGAAAGGTAAGTGGGAAAGAGTTTTTTTTTTGTATTTTAATATTTATTTTTCTTATTGCTAAGATAATTTATATAAGCAAGCTAGTATTAGATTTATTAATTTAATTAGTTATATAAAAGATATTGTTGCTTTCTTTATATATAAATTTCAAACAATTTTATAATTAATAAAGTAATAATATTTACTTATCTTAAAAAAATATTGATCTGTGAGTCTATAGTGCAGTGGTTAGCATTCCATAGGTCAAATCACAAGATACCAGTTTAACTGCATATGAGGTGGTTGAACCAAATTAAAAATGGTATCTGATGCAATAACTTGTTAAGCATTGTTTCTTATAAAAAGTCAATTCACATGTTGATTCAGCAGGTATTGATATTGTGACCTAGCTATAAAAGAAGTCGTGATATGATGATTGTTTGATTAGTGCTATGATATTTTTAGAAGATGGTTAAAAAGGTGAAGGAGTCCAGTTTCAAGTAACAATAGTTTAGTAATCCTTCCCATGATACCTAGGTGTCTCTTTCTACAGAAATAATCATGAAAGTCCTTTTCAGGACTGCTCTAATGGTTACCTCTTCAAGTTAAGCAGTTGCAGTAAGATTGACATTGTGGGCAGTTAGTCAGTGTAAGTACTTGACTGTCTGGATAGTTTAAGAGTTGGTATAGTATAGAATATAGAAAATTTCTTCAATAGGATTCTATTCACTCAAAATAGGTATCACTCCAATGTGATATATTTCAACTTCCTTTTAATCCTATACAAAATCCAAAATAGAATGGATTAATATAATTTGCAACACTAATAGAACTTTGGCACATTAGTTTTGGCACTTATCTCTTGTGAGCTATGCTAATAGCAACAAGCTGATATAGAGTAAAATCAATATAGTTATATGACATTATAATTAAATCATAGATAATAATTCCTATAATATATGAAGTATACATGTAACTTTAAATAATAAATCGCATTATGGCAAGGCCCAGCTGGTTAATCAATATATATATATATATAAAATTAAAGATTCTAATAATTCAATTTTCAGGTTTATATATACACCCCTATAGTAAATTACTGGGATTTTCACGTGAGTTGACGAACGATTTTTTTTTTTTTTTTTTTTTTTTTGTTTTTTTTTTTTTTTAATTTTATTTAACTTTTATTAATTTATGTATAGTTAGCAAAAAAAAAAAAATAAACTATAATGATCATAATTTATTTTCGCGCGATTTAAAACGTGATATATTAATATTTTGTATTTTTGCCCTTAGCTTTAATAATTGCTTTGACACGTCGAGACAAGCTTAAAATTAAGTGCCGTACCATTTCAATGCTTATTTTTTCCCATTCCTCTTGTACAATACGAATAAATTCTTGTCTAGATACAGGTAAAGGTTTTCTTTTTTGGATCTGACGATCCAAATGGTCCCACAAATTCTCAATTGGATTGAGGTCGGGACTTTGAGCAACCCAATCCTAGACTTGAATCGCATGTGATTCGAGCCACCAAGCCGTATATTGAGTGGTGTGACAACTGGCACCGTCTTGTTGAAATATGGCGCTCGGACTATTACGAACCCAAGGTATAAAATTGGTGGCTAAAATGTTTACATAAGCCTTTGAATTCATTGTTTGATCCACGAGTACTAAGGGGCCAACACCATTTCACGAGAAACAGCCCCAAAACATAGCTGATTCCCCACCAAATTTTACAGTAGGCTTAATGCAGTCTATATTGTATTCTTCCCAACCCTGCACCAGACTCGTACTCGTCCATCAGACTCGAATAAGGCGAATCGTGATTCATCAGACCACACAATTCGTTTCCATTCCTCGTCCCAGTCATGTTTGGTTCTGCACCAATTAAGTTGAGCTAAACGTTGTTTATTTGATAAAAGAGGCTTTTTTCGTGCTATGCAACTTCCTAGTCCCATTTCATGTAAGTAGTTTCAAATAGTATTTGCATAAAATGTTAAGGTGAAGTGGGTGTTTATGTCATTCGAAATGTTGCCTAGGGGCACGAAACAATCTTTTTGAACATAACATCGCACTATCCACTGATCACGGTCAGAAAGGGATTTTGGTCGTCCAGAACATGTATTAGGGTGAGGGAACCATTTTTTTTATAGCAATTTATTGTGTCATAAATAGTTGAGGAAGGTATACCGAGTTGAAAGGAAATAATTTTGCCTTTTGTACCTGAAAGATGTGCGCTGATTATTTGTTCACATTGTTGGGGGCTTAGCTCGGAACCCTGCATTTTTAGTATGACAGAAAACTGTGAAATGAAGAGAGTAACACGAAAAAAACATTTTTGGGTACACAACAAAAATTAAGAAAGAAAAACGATTTAAAAAAATTTTTTTTATCACGATCAACCAATCGCGATAATCCATCCCAGTAATTTACCGTAGGGGTGTGTATAAGGACTAAATCATTTTTTGTTGTTAGGTCTATTATTGGGAAAGGACGGATGTTCGATATCAACTGCTTAATATCTTCTACCATATTCACATTTAACTGGATGGTATTCTTGCCAGATAGATTATTGTTGATCATAATGGTGAGGGTGGCGTTAGCTTCAGGGTGCACTTGCAGCTGTTCTATTATTTCTTTGGAGGCATTGGCTAGATAGTGTTGATTGTTTTTTGAGTAGGTCCAAAGAGACATGACTTCACTAGTAGGTACAATGATATGTGTCCCTGTATTATGGCATTGACATTTTGTGAGCATTTTGCTTAGATCAATCGTGTAGTGTGGCCCCTTGAGTGGTCGTCTTGGGTCTCTATTGATTCTTGACTTAATATATGATACTTGGTTGTTTTCCATGAAGGCC